GTGATTCAAAATAGATTCATGCGCAGAGCCACGGGGGCCCCGTGGTACATGCGCAATAGTGATCTTCACATAGACTTGGACTTACCCACCATAGCCCAACACCTGAAGCAGGCGTCGCGTCGTTATTTTGACTCTGCCGTCAGCCATCCTAATTCGTTAGTTGTAGGTGCCGCCACCTACAACCCAATCGCGCTCGGTAAATTTCGACGTGATCATCATTGCTAAGCTAAGTGGCTAAGCTAAGCTAAGCTAAGTAGTCTCGGCGCTCAGTCACCAACAAGCTCAGTGTTTTACTAGTCGTCACAACGGAACGTTCGACATATTTGCGTTGTCGCATTGGAGTTCAGTTTGTGTGTTTTAAAGTAGTTTACAAGTATTGTTAATATGGCCGTCCGTCCATATTTTAAAAAAGTCATTTGTGTCAAAATATCTAACACAACGAACTACACAATCGATGAAAAAATATTTTTTTCACACCTACCTACTTTACTTTATTTGAAATGTTTTAATGACCTCGAATTAGAAATGAATGTTAACATTGAAGACTATTCTATTGTATTCTAAATAATGTTTCAGTGGTGTTTTATCACATTTTTAGTTATTCAAAAACTATTAAATCAATGTAACAGAGTAACAACAGGCAACCTTAGACAACTGTCAAGTTACAAAAAAGTCAAAAAGATGAATCTGAAAAGCGAGCTGTCAAATCATTTCGGCAATTAAAATCAATTTTTCCGTTTTCTGTTGCTTGTTGAATTGGCTGATTACGGGCATCCAGAAATTATACTTTTCAGATAAGAATAATGTCATCAATTATGTCTTCTCCGTCGGCAAACGATGAAATTGACGAAGCAAAAGAGCGTGCGCATTTTAAAGCCGTAGTCACCGCTTTTAAATATTATAAGTAAGTATTTTATCTACACTCTTTATGTATAATATAGGCGTTATTATAGAAATTCAACTACAGACTACCTTTAAATTATATCTAGTACTTATTTTTGAACTGTAACAAAGAAAATTTTCCCTAGCAACTATTCTTTGTTGTTGGATTTGGTCTATGCAATTAACCTATTTAGATACAACAATGAGTTTTGTTTATGTCCGGTGTAAGCGTAGAACTATGACCCTAATGTCCTTGGGTTTTGGTTTGTTTTACTTTGATGTTGATATTCTTCTTAATTATGTGTTTACTTAGTTATCAAAGAAAGTTCTTGAATATTCCTTGAAAATATCCTGTAAGGAAGGTTTCAATAAGTGATTCTTGATACCCAAATAATGATGAGAGGTAGACTAAAATTTATATGAAATAAACTAGAAAGATATTCTTTTTTTTTACGAAATATCAAAAATATTGTTGTTGTATACCTACTATGTGTTGAACTTTTAAAGACCAAGTAGCAACAACTTTTATCTTACATCTTATCTTTATGTAAAAAAGTAATCAGTATGTTTCAAGTGATAATGAGTGTTATAAATCCTTAATCTTATTGTATTAAAAAGTAATCATCAAATTTATAATTTTAGAACCCTTTATAGCTGTTTTCAAGTTTTCTAAGTTTCACCATCAAAAAGAATGTAAAAAACAAATTTAAAATCAAATGCATTTGGTTTACCATATGTTATTTAATACTTTATTTCAATATTTGTCCTAGTATTCATAAATATTCATTTCTTTTCTTTTAATATTTATGACAGTAATAAAGTTAATTTATCTACAAATTTAAACTTTCAACATAATAGCCCAAATTGGTAATGGTGTATACTATTATATGTAACAGTTTCACGTCATAAGAATATACATATGTGTGAGTATTTGTAAGATTTGCATTAACCAAAAACCCCATACATTGTTCCTCACTATCAAGATAATACACTACACACTGCAGCCTAGACGTCTAAGGTTATATTTTCATCTTTATAAATCTTCATTTAATCAATTTTAGGTTATGTGGAATAGAGAGGATTCATAAATCAGAAAACATAATATCCAAGCTTCCACAAAGTCATCAAAGGCGCTTGGAAAAATACCGGGCTTATCTCTCCAAGTTTAGAAAATGCCTGGACGTGAACAATAGTGTTGTTCATTTAATTATTAAAGATGTTGACACAATGTTTGAGAATGTGGATCACAGCAATACTGATATCTCCGGTACAAATGGCACTGAGAGTTTTGGATGCAACTACAATAACTGTGAGATTACATCACATAAACAACATAAAATGCAACATGATGTTGAAAAGGTACTGTAAACTATATTTTTTTTAATCGGTAACTGTCAAGATTAAAAAATTATGTGTTACATTATTTTTTCCCATGTTACAGGTACAGTCAGTGTTGAAAAACATAGTCAGGGATTGGAGTGAAATGGGTGCAGCAGAACGAAAACAGTGCTATGGGCCCATCCTCAATGAGCTTGAAGTTCGATACCCACTTGAGGAATTCAGGTTAGTTTTTAATTTTTAATTTTAAGGCTAACATTAATTAGTTATTGAAGTTGTAAAAGTATAATTCTAATACTTTCATATTTAGATGCATAAAAGCAGCGGTTTGAGGTGATTTGTTGTTCTGCTATTGGTGTTCATTTCATTAATTGGCCCATTGGAATTTCATCAGTTTTCCAAAGAGAAACTGGGTAACATTTTTTGTACTGGTATTTTAGCAGTTTTCATGGTATGTTAAGTATTATGTTGCATTTTTCAGTGATAGATCAAGGATCAAAGTGTTGGTCCCCGGAGCAGGGCTCGGCCGGTTAGCATGGGAGGTGGCCAACAGGGGCTACACATGCCAAGGGAATGAATTTTCATTGTTCATGCTGTTTGCGAGTAACTTTGTACTAAACAGGTGTTCTGATGTGAGTATCATATTGTTTTGATTAAAATATAAAATATAGTTATTAATTTATAAGCAAACATATGAATCATTGTCTTTTTCATGGATTTACAGGTGAATATGTATACTGTATATCCATGGCTACATCAATATGTGAATAATCTAACGTGCGACCATCAACTTCGTGGTGCCACATTTCCCGATGTTAAGCCTTCTACGGAAAAGCCAAAGTACAATTTCTCAATGACCGCAGGAGATTTTCTTAAGGTATTATAAGTTCAATAATTTTGTTAAATAGAAATACTAATACAATTTTTAAAGGTTTTTTCAGATTAATTTTGGTCATAAAAAATATGCCTTTTATTTAGCAATGCAACAAACAGTAACTTACTAAGATACTTCTAATTAGTACATTTTTATCTACATTTTCATCTTTATTGTACAACTAGTATTTGCTTGCGATTTTCTAATGTTAAAGTAATTTTTGTAATTGTCAGTTATCAGTAGTTTTTGAGTTAATACATAATACATTTAAAAAACATTTCTTCTTTGTAATACTATAGGTTTTTGTTACAGGTGTATACAGAAGCGAATGAATGGAACTGCGTTGCGTCTTGTTTCTTTATAGATTGCGCTCCCAATGTCATTGAATTCATTGAACGGATATACACTATCTTGATGCCTGGAGGCTACTGGATTAATCTCGGACCTTTACTATATCACTATAGGTAAGAAAATTTACCATCAATCTATTAAACTATAGTGAAATTTATTTCTTGTGTAATGGCATATTATGTGGGACAAAATGCAACCATAATCCACATCTCTCAAAAGTCTAGTTTAACATTCTCCCGAGTGAGGTATGATTTTTTTTCTACTGGTGTTATGGTTCTAGTGTTTTTTTTTATATCATAAGCTAGCAAACAAGTGAGCCTTAGCTGCTGGTGTTTATGGTTCTAGTGTGTTAAAAATTGTCAATTTCCATATTAATTTTGTTGATATCTGATGCATTTTATTTGATTTTTATTATTTCAGTGATATGCCAACAGCGAATAGTATAGAACCGCCGTATGATATCCTATTGGACATCATTAGAGATGTAGGATTTGAGATACTGGTGAGTACAGTATTTAGAAATTGGGTTTTAAGCTTTTTTTTACATCTAATATCCTTTTTTTATTGCAGCAAGAACGTACGGGGGTGAAGACGAAATACGCACAAAACCCGAATTCAATGATGCAACATGAATATGACTCTGTGTTCTTTGTTTGCAGGAAACCTTTCGGTGTTTAATTCCTTAACAGTATTGCAAGTGTTTTATACCAATATGCTCTTTATTAGTGTTGTCTAAGAGTCAATTTACATTGAGATTTAAGTCTTTTAGTTTTATTATAAAGTGTTATATCAACAGGCGAGATGTGAATGCAGTATTTTGGTTTATAAGAACAGTTGTCAAATCTTTTTGGGTATCCCAACATGGTGCATGTATAAAATGTTTTAAGGTTGGTACTCCAATAACTACTGTGTGCCAATAAGAACTGATTTTTTTTTAAGGCTCAAAAAGATTTTGTCCGAAGCAAACATAGCTAGTAGGGTGTCTTTAAATAACCGCTCAAGTACCTGGGCATTAAGTAGGCTGTAAACTTTTTTATACTCTGTATTTTTTCTATGTTTATTAATAATTTACTAGTAAACATAATTCAAAACATTGATTGTTACAAAAAGGTTGTACAAGGAAAGTTAAAGTACCAACACTAAAAATGAAAACTAGTTACAGGCAGAGATCGTAAGCAACGTGAGCGCGTTTCCAAATATTTGCATGACGCGGATTGGTTAAGATTCGTTGCGACTAAATAAACAACCAATCACAAGTGTCGGAAATCACGTGACACGTGCACAGCCAATCATATGCTTGTTGGTTCTTAGATTTATGCTGGTAGACTTTTTCATGATGTGGTTCTAATAAATTCAAATGTTTGTTTTATGTTATTGGTAAAATGTCATAGATATTGAAAATATGTTAAACATTCATGTCTATGTTTCCTTGTAGAATGTTATAGTTGTGTTAGCCCGGAGTTTTAGCTAGGAAGGCCTTTGACAATATTTCTTTACCTCTAAGGTATGGGATAAAGATCTCAAATCTGTGATTAGTTTCCATTTAATCTTGGCCTGGCCTATGTTTTATAAACTGTTGATTCATATAAAAGTACATATAATATAATAATTGTCACTTATCTCCTGGGAATATATAATTATCTATGGGTACAAATCATAATAATTATTAGCTTTTTGTCTGTTGCACTAAAAGACATTAAAAAGTGGTAATAGTGAAACATTACATATTTACAATTTTATTTGCATATAATTGTAATCTGACTGACTACCCTCTTTAATAATTTGTCAAACCTATTAAAGTATAGTTGTATACAGTTTATAAAATAAATAAGATATTAATCTGTAAGTGTTTTATTTAAATATTGTATAAAGTATCTTCCAATTTTATTTGTTTCTTCATTTGAATGACTCATTTTTGCATATGTTAAAAATTGTCTTCTTAACCTTAGCAGTTTCTGAGGGTTAACATTTTGAACAAATCCAGCTTCTAACAAGCAACCCGGATAGTCAGGGAATCTTACTTCATCCATATTTAGTTGTTTAGCATCTAAAATCTGTTTAGATATTGATTGTGTCACTTTGTCCAATTCATAAAGGAAGTTTGTAGAACTAAGTGGTGGCTGTAAAATATTTGTTAATTATATAAAAGTAGGCAACAGGAATGAGAATGTAAAAGTAGCTAGAAGATAAATACTTAACACATTAAGTGCACATTGAAGAAATTCAAAGATGTGTGAAGTGAACCAATCCACACTGCGCCAGCATGGTTGACTATGGCTTAGTCATCCCTAACTTAGGGTGTGCTCTGAGCCCCTCTGTGGGGACATAGTGAGCAAATGCTTGCAAGATGTTAGTGTGAAAATGGCATTAAATGTGAAAACATACTAAATGCAAAGCTTATTTTGATTAACTTGACAATAAAAAGCAAATAAACTTACATTTTGAGTGCTCATATTTGGCGGAGGTGGCTTCTTCTCAAACAGAACACTGTAAATAGCATCTAAATCTAGGTTGTCAGTTGGCTGAACTGTAAACAATGGACTGTCCCATCTGTGATTTGAGTTTGGTTCTTCAAATCTAGGAAAACATGTATTTTTAAAAATACTAATTTTGATTAAAATATCTAACTTGTTATTAAAAATTATTGAAAATTTATTTTATATTGGAATGAAGGATATGTTTCATTAATATTCTGTTGTCTCAAAATGAAGGGTTGGCACAATATGTACTGCTCCTTCATTAATATTTTCAGTTGTCAAATTTGGGTTCACTCCCTTCATATGCTCTTTCACACATTTCATCCATACTTTCTTTGGTTTTCCTGTATATTTATCATTACTTTATATATTGATTGCTAATAAAAATACACACAAACTCACCTAAATTTAGTCAATGCATTGAATACTTCTTCAGTATATGCTACTGGTTGTTTGTGTATTGAACTATTATCCCCTGGCACATCGTCTTCGTTTTTATTAGAATTATTTAATAATTTCTCATTATCTTCCCATGCTTCATCATGATTGCGTATTGTATAAATTGTGCACTGTGTCGATTTACAAGCCTTTGATGCACAATACAGTTCATAGCGATAGCCTTAAACAAAAACGTACATAAATACACAATAAAATATTCTCAGCAAAGTAAATAACTGTTATATTAATAGTAATACATTTATTAAAAGTAAAATATTTTTTTACCTTTGATATAATTGCTACCATCTAAAATGACAACACTGTCTTTCCCTATTAGTCTAATAACCTCCGACTTCAGATGTCCTCTAACTCTTTTCTCCTTCTGTGAGTCCAAGTACGTGGAATTCTTTTCATATCCTAAACTTACTATTGCTTCTTCTTCGGATACAACATCAACATGTTTCCCATGTTTTTTCTCGAAAAACTCTTTCAGTTCGTTTGTTCTACTTGTTTTACCACTTACTGGTGTTCCACATATTATAATTAAGGGCATTTTGAGGTTTTATTTACATTTTTTCGTAGACAAAATAACCTTAAAAGTGTACGATTGTGCTAAGAAATGTCAAGTGTCAATGTTATTACGTTGAGTGACAGTGACAGTAGAGTGAATTGGGGTGTAAGCAGAAAATGAACAAAGGATAATTTTGTTAACTTTAACCTTATATTTTAAATGTATGCTTATAGAAACCTCCTTTTGAGCCTTTCTGTATGTATTTACAAGATAACAGCATCGCAGCCGTTTTTTTAAATATTAGGTACCAAAGAAGCATGCCCTTTCAGGTTTTGTAAATGACCTAAAACAGGTCACTTGATACTAAATTAATATTGTTAATGGTCGTTAATACACTATTATTATATAACATTCTAAAGTATATACAATTTCGTTTAACAAAACACAAATTAACTACTGCTACCCGACGTTGATGTCTTATTTGTTTTAATTCCTAAATAATTCTTTCATTTGCCCGTGAACTTAAGGTCGCATGGCTTAAGTGGAAGTATGTTCTAGTTTCTTCATTCTTGGTATGTCACTTTTTGTGCACTTACACGGTCCACTGACAGCCTGTTCGAAATGACCTCCTTATCACATCTCGTTTCGGTTTAATTAACATTTGACAGGACGCTTGTTAATGTTTAATACCTTTTAGAAAATTTTACGTGATTTTCATGACCTAAAATCTTACATTTTACATATAACTTTGAATAAAACTACAATTTTTCAAGAATTCCTGACGTCGCAGCCAATCGTCTTTGAGCCATGGGTTCGATCTTCTAACGATGTGCAACTGGTGTGGGATGTTTCGGTTTTAAATCCAATAGAAAAATTAACAACAAAATAATTAACCTGTGGGCTTTTGCAATTTTTTTTAACGATACGACGATAGGTTTTAGAGTCAGTCGTGTACAAATGGTTTGTTTTCTACTGAGTTGTAGATAGGGAGGTGTGGTTAATTTGTAACTTGATGCTCTTACCAAGTTTATACTATTAAGTTCCTAGGTCCACTGGTTGTTAGCGAAATACGATAGCTCCGACATTGAGGTGTCCGTCGGAGGTTGCGTTGGCTTTTGATCGATCGTTTGCTCTCGATTTTTGTATACTTCTATCACAGAGATAAGTGGATAATATATTGTATATCGTTTTTATTGCAGGTTTTGCCCACGCTGTTTAATCGATTGATAGCAATTAGATCAGTATGATAAATGTTCGCAGTGGTTAAATAGATTTGGTTTATACAAGTGATATTTTCGTTTTATTTTTTTCCACAGCAATTGCTTATTAATATTTGATTAAATTATTGAATAATCATGAGAGTAAAAGTTAAGTACGATATTTGCTACGGTTTTATGTATCGAAAAATTTTGATTACCCATTAGGCCATATATGTATAAAAAAGCTTGCTATTTTTAAACATAATATCTACGAGTATCGGAAGTACAGAAGGGAATTCCGATAATATTTCTCGCTATCTCCTTTTTTAGTCATAGTAGATCGATATCAATTTGAGGTTACTGCAGACATTAATAAATACTAGCTTTGAGTTTGTAATCATTATTAATACAGTTGGATCAAATATCCTGCGTCGTTCAAATTGCGTTTACTTTTTTATTTAGTCTATAAGTACTTCCCAGAGATTGTCACAGTCTCTAGCAATAATTTAAATGATTTTTAATTAATTGTTAACGTTTTCTCTCCGATTAATATTATTTTATTCTTTATTCATGATTATAGTTTAAACGATATTAATCTTTCGTAGGTCAAACACTTGTATCATTTATTTTTAACTGTCGACGTAATTAATCATCGTTTAAATGAAACAATGGGAAGTTGACATTGACGAAGGTCGCTTTACTTATGTACGAAGCTTTTGTACCTTGAGGGATAAGCTTTGTTTTGTCATGAGAAAAATATTTACTAAGCTTTTATATGAAATTATCTTTTCATGTGTTTATTTCTAAATATGGAATAATGGATCTATGAAAAGTAGAATTATTAAAATCTAAGAAATCGACTGATTGTAGTCGCTATTTAATAATTTAATTTAGATAGATTTGATAAGCATTTACTGATTTAAGTCTCTTTTCCTTTCCACGTTTATGTGCATCTCCTCTTCAGTCTATTATGGGTAGGCAATGCATCTGCGATTGTGGATGTCTATGGGCAGAGGTAGCTTCTCCATTTCGCCGGATTCAGGTGACCGCTTACTCGTTTGCTATCATATAAAAAAAAACTAACACTACATTGTTACTTCAAAATAGTTTGTTATAAAATATAAAATAAATTGTTGTAGTAATGTATAGTGTAATATGAACATGCGATACCCTGACCTCCCCGGGGCAGTGGCGCAAGATGTGTAGGTGTTACACTTCACTCGGCTGACGGGGTAATGCCTTGTCAAGTTACCAAATAGTGCTAAATGCTTTATTTATAAACTAGAAAATAGTACTTGTATTTTATAACCTTTTATTTTAAACTTGAAGTTATGAAAAGTTACTGCCTCAGTAACTATTAATATTGTAAACTTTAATTTAGAAATCTTTACTGTTAATCCAAGAATATCATATCCAGAGTCAATTATACTTAGCAGTCCCTTAGCACGTAATTTGCATATTAAATCTACACAAAACAACACCCTTAGCATTCTAACAACTGTGATAGTACAAGGAAAAAGTACGAATTTAAATATTGATCCTGTGAGGTCAATAGTAAACTTTGTTATAATTTTTTTTGATGGTATAAGTTAACGGTCACCGGAATAAGCCGAAATAGTGACGTGAACTTGAAAACGTGAGGCATTTGCATTTTCATCTGAAAATTGCCTAACTTCAATCAACAGTCTTCTTAAACAGTGAACTTTACGTATTTATATTGAAACTAGCTTTTGTTCACGAATTCGTCCGCGTGATATTAAAAAAAGTATAAAAGCAACTAGCCTGTGTGTTCTTCCGTCTATTACAACATCTATTGCAAATTTCATCGAAATCCGTCCAGCTGTTTAGGCTACAAACTCTAACAATCCATCCATCCATCTAAAATTTTGCATTTATAATATTAGTATGATTAGAATGTAATTTCAAAATACAAAAAACAGTACGGAACCACAATTAAGCGTAGGTCTGTGATTTTCTTAGTTGCCAGTGAGTGGCGCCTGCACCAATAACCGCCCGTGATTGATCGAGGTCGAATTCCTATGTTCAGAATTTAAGTTTTTGAATTTTACACTTCAACTGTCAAGTTTTGTAATTAGAATGGTTTTTGAGGTCAATTTATTGTGCATTTTGACTAAAAAGGTTATATATTTCAATTATTTAGAGTTTCAAATGTTTTTTTTTATTATGATAGGAAATTATCTCTGTTGATACGATTCTCACGTAATATTCATAAAATCCGATTGTTTATACAATCAGGAAATTTCGCTGTAGAATAAACAATGACTTACATTGAGCTATTAATGAGGCAACTTTAACTTAACTTAATGTAACACGTGAACTTTAAATGTGTAATTGCAACATTGTCAATTACGCGTAAAGCATATTTTTCTGTAGCCCTTTGTAGGTCTTATTTTTTTCAGCAACTTCTTAAATCTTCCAGTTTGCTACGCCATCTTTTTCGCGTCCCTTTACGCTGTAAACAGCTTCTATCTACGGATTTCTAAATATCCTTAACTCATTTATGAGTTAAGGATATTTAGAAATCCGTAGATAATCCGGAATTATTTTTTTGCAATTTTGTTTCGAATAAATAAAACAAATCATTTCTTGATTTCATATTTCCAATTGTTAAAATGATGATACATTTTTACAATAAATCGTGATAATTGATCCTTCACCTTTTGTTAGTTCCTGAAAGTAAGACCTTTGAATTGAATTTTTTTGTCGCTCTTCCAAGTTCTGAATTAGATCACGAAGTTTTAACCGAAGATCCGTCGCAGGAGGGGGAAGCTCCAAAGTTAAATCTTGTTAACGGCGATATTTTATGTGAACAAAAAGACATAAACGCGTTTCTACTTAAATGTCACTTAATTCGATTTTGTTTTAATACGAAGCTAATAATAATTTAAACGTGGAATAAGTTACACATAGTTTTCACTTAAAAAAAAATGGTATAAATCATTTTCACATATCCGTACTGAAATGTGTCTTCTGTCGACAGGAATTCAGATATGTGATTTATGTTTCAAAATGAATTTACTTCAAAGCGACATGTTTATATGTATATGTACTATTACTTGCACGCTCTAAACTGCGATGGTAATGTCTAGTTACTAACGTGGTAACTCGCGCCCGGGTCGCTCGCTGGCTACCCGCTAGCGTGTGCTCTATTTATTTATTTAATTATTACTATTAATAAATTATTTATTACTAATTATTTAATAACTAAAAAAATGTTTAAGTGTGCGGTAATGTTATTTTTCGGTAAGTGTAAATTAGTAATTTTATAAGTGCCATTTTCTATAATTTCGGTCTTTTTAAAAAAAAAAACAAGTACCTTAATTATTCTTATATCTAAGAGCATTCTAGTTTTATAACATTTTATGATTTTATTATTAATATTTTGAAAGCTTTCGTGGCATATTAATATTCTGAAAGAAAAATAAATTTTATCAGTATGTAATTGTTTAAATCTTTACTCATATAGTTAAATCTCTGAAAAAATTTAATACTTATAGCTAACTCCACCCTTTTCCTTATTATGATTATTTAAACTGATCGTTTAAAATAGTGAATGTCACCCAAGTTACCAAAAATCTGGCAAAGATCACGGACCACCTTGAAGCTGAAATGTACTCACAGGATTTTTTTATAAAAAGTTTTTTTTGCTATCAATGACGATGCTATTTTAGTTTACCTCAGTCTTTGTCTATGTCTGTTCTATATTACTACCAAGTTTAAACTCTACTTTCAGCGCTGGTTGCGACATCTAGTGGTCAACAACACGACTACTACCATGACCTGCACTTACCCCACGACCCACCATTGTACCCCGTGTTCGCTCAGCCGCCACCTACTCAGTTCAGTTGTTCTGATAGAACTATCGGATACTACGCTGATGTACAAGCAGGTTGCCAGGTTAATATTTTTTATATTCTACTATAAATTGCATATTAAAAAAAATAGTCATGTTCCACAATTAAAAAAAGTATTTATCCAATTTGCACAAAATTAATTACACAATGTTTATAACAAATCCTATTCTTAGGATATTTGTTGTTGAATAGAAATTAAAGTACATGCAAATTATAAAAGTTTGTTCATCGAAATATGTTATTAAACTAATTTGACTCTATTTTTCTTACAAATATTATTTTTTTAATGAATTCTGTTACATATTTAAAACATTAACATTCTATTAAATTATATTCTGTTATTTCGTTGATCTCCAGGCTTTTCATTTCTGCTGGCACCGGCGTGTGATAAGTACGGAGCTGTGTACTAATGGTACATTATTTAATGAACAATTTCAGGTAAGTCAACTTCTTATTAATAAGACTTTAGTTTCCAAATATTTTGATTTCTTTTATAATGTAAGGTGGCAAACGAGCAAGCGGCCACCAGAATCCACCGAAATGGAAAGCGATCGCTGCCCATAAACATCTGCATTTGCAGATGCGTTGCCTACTCTTCATTGACGAAGAAGAGACACATAAAGAGGACTATTCCTTTTCCTATGCCTCTCCTCCACCGTCAAATCCACTTTTCCTTCCCATCCTTTCCTCTTAAGAAAAGGATGAAAAGGGAAAGGGACTAAAAATAGGCCTCCGGCACCACACTCATCAGACGAAACGCGGAATTACTTCCACTTCACGCCTGTTTTCTGTGTGATCGTGGTATTACCGGGCAGGCCGGCCCAGTCGTGCGAAGATGTTAAAGCGGGCTCTACCATTTTTCCCCCGGTTTAGTATATTTTATCTTTTAACACGTTCAGAAAGCGCCCTTAGAATTCAATACTTTCAGTGCCACCGACTTTCCTGGCGAGTTTACTTTAAGACGAAAAATTTACGTAGCATTGAATATGTTAAATGAACATTTTTAAATGAAAATATGGTAAATATAACGTGGAAATAGGGTACATAATTCATTAAGAATTCATATTTATTTTCAGGTGTGTGATCATTTTTACAACGTCCGTTGCGGATCTCCGTATGAAGATTTATGAACTAATTTAATAAATGAAAATACACGCGGTTTTTTTTATTTTATAGAAATTTATTTTCATTATTGTCATTCATAAAAACATTAAAATTGAATCGGAACAAGTAAAAAAAAAAGTAATTTATTAAAATTTATCACAAATCTGAGTATTCTATTTATTATATTTTATGTTTTCTATTGTACTCTTACATTTGCTAAAACACCTTCAGTACTTACAAAACATAATAGATTTGCTTAGATTTTATTGGCATGATTACTAAGTTCTATAAAGTAGTTCACGCTGTCTTCACAATTAAATCCCATTACGGAATTGACATTATTAAATTCACACACAAACACATACGCTAGCAACTTAGATGCATTTTTGTATTTTTGACCGACTTCCCAAAAGAAGGAGGTACTCAATTCGTCTGTATGTCTTTACTCTACAAGCGACGAGAATGGTTTATCTGCCGCGTTGTAGTGCGAATGAAATTTGTTTTTTTATTCTTTTTTTTAGCTGCCGTTAACCGCAACTCGGCTAAACGAATAATGCCTATGGATTCTAAAACAAAACAGAGGTTATACATTATTCCATTTTTAAAATATTGTATTATATTTTCGTAATTAATTCTAAAGAGTTTACATCTCTTTATTGATTTGAATTAAAAGAAATAAATGATATATTATTGGATGTAATTTTGATCTATGAAAACATTTTAAACCTTATAAATGTGAATAATATGATGTATCTTATACTTGTAAGCAAGCCATTCGAAGTACAGTCTGCTACTCGTACTTACGTTCAGTTTTATCTGTACAATCAGATCGTTCAGATAAATAACGTGTTGGTAAAACTACTGAACAGTTTACAGTTATGTTAGATTTATCCGAATATCGGACTGTGCAGATAAAATAGAGCGTTTGTAATCTAATTTTAAGCATTACCTTATTTAGAATTTAAATATCAACGCAACTCTTCAGCTGCATTTAGTAACACTTTATACAGAAAAATATAGTATCAGATTTTGATTATAACCTTAACAAAAATGTAATGCAATAACAAATCACAGTAAATAGACTTATACTTAGATAACTAGCGGAATCCGGTTCATCGGGTATTTCGTTCTGCTTCATAACTCTGTTCATTTCGTCTAATATTCTCTTCTCTTCTAGAGCTAAAGTAGTGGCATCATTGATAGCGTGCATTAGCGCGTAGTTAGAGTACTGCGGCGCTGGGAGACGTAGCTGGAGTTTATTGTTCGCTACAACGTATGCTCTTTGACGAACCAAATTTTCTATGCGGCCAGCTGTAAAAAAAAAATTTAAAACAATGTTCCTTAAATTAAAACCATAAATTTATAGCTTTCACCCGCGACTGCGTTCTCGTGGAATTAAAAAAAAATAAACAAAAGAAAGCAGCCTATGGATTCTTCTAAATCTGTGTTAAAATTCATGGAGATCCGTTTAGCAGCTTAGGCTACAAACTCTAACAAACAACCAAACATCCATCTAACCTTGTGCATTTATAATAATAAAAATCTCCAGCTGTTTCCAATGTAAATAAAAATGGATTTAAAAATGTCAGGTTATCTTACCATCCGGCAAATTGAGGGACTTTAAAGCTTTCTTTAATATCGGGTCGTCGACTATCCGGTTGTAAGATTGTACGAATTCATGATACGTTTCAGCTTCTCTGTCCTTCTCGCACAGACCTCTGAAGTCATCAGTATCGATACTCCACACCATTATACCGCCTAGGTTGTACTCCATGGCAGTTCTGAAACGATATGAGCAACATTATATTATAAAAATAACGGATTCTAGTTAAAACAATCCTTATTTTGTTGTTTTACTAAATTTATCCCCAAATACAAGTTAACTTTAATTTATTCGGATCTTTATCTTGTAAATAAACTGCATCCATATTCAACAATGTTCCCTTGTCCCTACGAAGGGTCTTACTGTGCCGTAAATGTTGCTGTTTCACACAATCCATATATAGTTTCTTCGGTAATACAACAGATGGCGTCCATTTTTATTACTTAATTTGATAGCTTTAAATTGCAAACTCTATCTGATATTCACATATTTCTGTTGGTTTCTTAATAAAATCAGCTAGAGTATTTATGGAATATTTATATATGTTATGTATTTCTAATTTCTGGTTTAAAAATCTGTTTTTGCGACTATCTAATTGGTAATTGACTACTCACTTGACTTTAATAGCAATGGATCTAGTATTGTCATACGTAATGATTCGTTTGCCGTCACGTAAGTACGGGGTAGCGGATTGATCGTGCCAATGGTGAGTCCATTTTGATGATTTGTTAGTTATTTCCATACAGATCTGTGAAAATGAAATGTTTAAATTACATTTTATATAATAGAGTCCGAATAGGTAGCATTTAAATGGTTTAACACTCTTAATGTTGTGACATTCTACAATAGAATGTAACTAATAGGTCATTTATTTCATTAAAATATTTTTGCCGCTAACAAGGCTGAAAACTGTAGCTCTTATGGTTAAAGTTTTTAATTAAAAAGGTTAAAGTTAATTTTATCACTGTACATTACCTCGTTGTATCCCATAAAACCAGCTTCTCTAGTATACGGTCCTTTAAAACCAGTTTGTTGAACAGTTGTTCTTCCGAATTCTATATCTTGAGCGTCGTCATTCAGGATAAAGGTGCGGCCATACAATGGCACCCCGAGGACCATTTTGTAAGGACTGACGCCATTCTCTAACAAGTATTTTATGGTGTATTCCTGTAATAAGAAAAATAAGTCTTTCATAAAATTCAACAGAAAATTCAAATCATTTCAAATGCTTGCTTACAATACAGAAGTGAATATTTTATCGCCGAACATTTTATTTCCGATTATATTATCAACTTAGAGGTTATGGTTAGTTTAAAAAAGGATTTAACAAAGGCACAAAAGATCTACAGTAGTAGATATGCGGAAATATGGACGCCACTTAATAAATAAGCGTACAAATAAAGAGATCCAAATATGTATACACTCGTAGAGGAGACAGGCAGCATTTGCAACATAAAAACACGAGATGGCGTACCAGTTTTAGTTTTCTATGTCTCGTCTATGTATTTAAAGTCTTTGTGAGTAATCTAGAGAGTTGCAGTCCAACTTACCACACTAAGTACATCATCATCGCTAGTGCCTCTCAGAGGCGCGTTAGCTCCAACAACACCGTCCCATGTACCGTGGTAGTCGTAACACATCATATGAATGAAGTCGAGATATCGGCTCAGCTTATGCATATCGTATGCTGCGTCCATCGTCTCTTTACCCGCACCGAGCGCCGCTGTCAGTAGATAGTTTTTAGGCTCGAAGGCTTCTTTTAATTCCTAAAAAGTATATAAGTTAAAATTACTGAATGGAATAACCTTAAATGTAAGTATTTGGTGTTGTGTTAATCATACTAATATTATAAATGAGAGTTTAGATTTATGGATGGATGGATGGATGTTTGTTAGAGTTTGTAGCTTAAACGGTTGAAGGGATTTCGATGAAATTTTGTGTAGATGTAGAGGATAGTCTGGAAGAACACATAGGCTATTCACTTTTGCTTTTTTTATTCCACGTGGACAGAGTCGCGAACGAAAACTAGTAAATTAATGAGCAGAACGTAATTTAAAAACAAATGATACACTGAGAACGAACGCAAATCGAATGACGCATCACTTTTGTAAGTTAATAACATTTATGTCTTCGTTTGGTTTAGGTAAAAACACCCTCAAGTAGCGTTGATATGCACTTAAAAATAATCGGACCTCCAATTCTCATGTCGAATTTAATGAGTTTGTTTACATTTATTTGCATACAAGCTGTTGCTAGGGACTTCGCCCGCGTTAAATAAAAAATAATAGCTTATCTTACTTACTGATAACGTAGTTTTTTAATGGTGAAAGAATTTGCTCAGCAGTTTTTGAGTTATTTTGGTACATACAAGAATACAAATCTTTCCCCTCTATAATAGTTGTATAGATTATATTAATATTACCTTTACTAGTAACACGAAGTTAGCTCTATCAATGGGTCTGCCGTCTCTCTTCGCCGGGTACTCCCAGTCCAAGTCGAGTCCGTCGAATTTGTATACACTGGAATATGAAAGAAATTACATCAGACCATGTAGAACATTAATTTACAATATAGATTTTAAGTGGGTCTGCAATTTACTTCCTCACTCTGTAAAACGTATCTTGTTTTAAAATGTAAGGGATAAAAATACACAGGTTTTTGTAGAAAAGTTTCGTCCGTAGAAATCCAGTAGTAATTTCGAAATGCTACACTATAACAATCATAAGTACTGTTAATATTTGAAAAGTTATTGTTTTTTTTGTTTTTAATTTTTGCGGTAAATATGATCTGTTCTCTTTATAAGTTTAATTTAATTACTACTTACTCAAGAAATACTAGTACACTCTTAATAAACTTGGTTCTGCTCTCTGCTGTTTCTGCCATAGCGGAGAACTTTCTAGAACCCTCATTCCAGCCGCCGATAGCGATGGTCACCTTCAGATGTGGGTAGCGCCGCTTCAGCGCTACGAGACCTCGGTAACCTGAACTGCCATTGTTTTTTTCCAAGTCGTGCCAAGAATCTATAAAAAAGTATTTATTTAAGATTAATTGGTAACCGCGTATTTCAGCTTAAATCAATCAAAAAATGTTGCTTAAAGGATGAAATGATTGACGAATCATAAAAGTTTAAATAAACAGGAATTCAAAGAAATTTGCGCGATTGACTGAGAAGTATTCCTAATCATTGATTTGGCAACATCAAAAATAAGAGTACATTTCTGCTTAACGGTTCAACTCAAGCGTGACATAGTAATTCCATGCTAACCTAAACTTTTAATTCCCATTGTCGTCTCATCGAGTCCTGCGAAGGAGTAGACAATGTGTGTGCAGAGGGAGGGCTCCAGATGTTCCAGGTCAAACTGGCCGTCGCCCGGCCGGTATGTAGCCCACGTGCCAATGTAGCAGACCACCACTTTACCATGCATCGGACCTGGAAATACATTTAAGTATAGTCGAGGTAACTGCCGGTGTTTAAAAACTACTCGTATAATATAGTTTGAATATTTTGAAACGAGACTCGGAACATAAACCAATACAGCGCAACTTGTAAATGTTTCTGTACAAAGTAATACAGGGCTAGTTTCTCTTTATTTTTATCTCTTCGTTTGCACTCACTGCTATCTAATTAGTTATTTGTAGGATGAGGCGGAGTTTGTTTCGTTGCAATGAACAAGGCAATTTTTCCTGAAGTGGAACATATTGGAATGCCGCGACTGTACATCAAAGTGAATCAAATATAGAGGAGACATTGTCTACATATCACTTGAAACTATCAAAATCATCACTAACGCCATCTATTAATAACCAACAAATCTTAAAAAGCAAATGTATTATTTTAAGGTTATACAGGTTCTATAATATGTTGTTTTTATTCCTGTCAAGGTATTCGAGAGAAAGTTTTGATTCGTGAAAGCGTGCTATACTTTAGTTTTAAAGATGGCGTGACAATAACAGATATAAACAATTGTTTACAATCAGCCGAGTATAAAAAGATCACGAGCGTGAAATGG